CAATACAAAGTAAAAATCAAAATCAACAAGCAACTATAAACCAGAGACACACAACGGGCGGGGACGGGGGGATGTGTGGGGAAAGGAAGGACTAGAGTCAAAATATGGGGGAAGGGGTGCAATTGTATGGGGAATATAACCAAAATGAAAATGCATACGTTGTGCAAAGATGAAAAAAGATGTAAGAATTATATAAAATAAAATATTTAAATAAAAAAGAATAGAAATGCAATAAAATAAACCAACAAAAAAAATAAAATGATCGATGATGTAAAAAATAAAAAAATGTATATATAAAAAAATCTACCTTGTCTAGAAATGAAGAAATTATAGCAGGAATAGGCAAAATTATATATATATAAATAATGGCCATCTTAAGAGAAAAAAAAAGGAGAATGGCGAGCATGCTAGAAAATATCAGCAGACAGTAGCGTAGACAGTAGCGCGCTGAGTCATTGAACTAGCAAACCGATCTGTGGCCGTGCTGCTGTTCGACATGAGCCACCAGAAGCACTCCATCCCATACCTTCTAACTACCTTCATTTTTCTTGGCAAAACAACCTCCACAATTTGTTTTTAGTTAGAAAACACAGTATCCTGTAGTCAGGACACTAAGCCAGCATTTTCTCTGTTTCTAGTTAAAGGAAATATAAAGATGCCAGAAAATATTTGCCCCAACAGTGCTGCTTTTCATTAAAAGGGCACTTTTAGAGCCTTGTTACTGCAATGTCAACTCTGCATTGTTCTATTACCATGAAGCACAAAACTGAAAGAGTTTTTTTCCCCCTTCTATCAGCAGCATATCATATTTGCTGTGTATTAAAGAAAGTATTTACAGATAGCAACAGCATTTTTCTCCCCCTGGAAAAGAGAGATCACTGAAGATGTAACCTAATTTCCTCTTTCGTTCGGAGTCCTCAAATTTAAGAAAGTAATTTTTCTGAGTTGCCTCAAGATAGCTAGGTTATTAAATTCCACCATGACCTGACTACATCCGAGCTGGAGAAAACATCAACCTTTTGTCAGCATCAGTTCCTTGTCTCCGTCAGGGCAGAAGCATCGATCGCTTACACATCCTCTCTCACTTACACATCCTCTCTCGCTTACACATCCTCTCTCGCTTACACATCCTCTCTTGCTTACACATTGCTGACACGGCCTCTCACAGGACTACTTTTCAACAGCAATTTTCAACATAATAAAAGTTATCTTGGAAAGAACACTTTGCAGAGAAAACATCTCAGGCATTACAGAACTCATCACAATCCATTAATATGTAAGTCGTGACCGATTCAATGTAGCAAGTCAACAAGTGTCACAGCCTACCCGGATCTTAAAAAGTTCTGGTTCTAGCAAACCGCTATGGTGAGAAAAAAAAAAAAAAAGTAAGTTTCTTGGAAGCTGAGAAACTCCTCATGGTTTGGGGCAAGCAGTGTAGCATCACAGATGGTGTTTGAGACCAGATGCTTCTGGTGGCCATGATGAACTCCAGACTGATGAGCCAGGGGTGTCTAAAGAAGTTTGTGTGTCTTGAGGTGGGATGCCACATTGGATTACTTTTGGATGACAAGGACAGCAGCTGCCACTTATTGCTTGTTCATGGTCAGCCAGGAATCACAGGCCTTACTGTCTGCTTGACCACCTTACAAGCCAGCATGTGAGGACACAGAGCACCCTCCATGTGCCGGGCAGGCACTAGTCAACTGCTGAACTTGGAGCATGTCAGTTGCCTCCCATTACAAGTCTATGAGATAGGAGTGTGACTACCACCCATGTCTAGATGAGAAAATGGGGGCTTTGCTCTTAAGATCACATAATCACTGAGGGTCAAAAGTTGGTGTTCAAACCTACTGGACAGCTGACCCTGGTCCCTAATGGCCACACCACCATGTCTGGATGCCTCTCATGTAATATGAGGCACCTGACATCCCTCCTTTTGCACTTAATTGTCCAACAGCTTTGTAAGATCAGTGTTACTATTCATACCTGAAAATGAAAGAAACAAATTTCTGAGAGATGCAGGGACTTGCCCATGATGTTGCTGGGTGTGTGAATGTGAAGAAGAACTAAAAGCACTGTGTGGTTACTGAAGACAAGCCACACTGAATCTCCTGATCATCATGGAAAAAAGCTGCTTGTGACCAGAGTTTAGGTGTTCATGTCCCTGAATCTTGAAGGACATGAGATCATTTTACTCAGAAATTGTCTGTCATATACTTATCTTTCTCTCTGACAGAGAAAACATGAAATGAGTGATTCAGCAACTTCTCTAATGAACCTTATCCTCCAAGCCTAATCTGGACTTAAATTCAAAACTCCACATACTTCCCTGTTTAAAATGTTTTTGAGCACTTAAGATACCTAGGTCACAGGGTAGAAACTAATCGCTGGAGACATGCAATACATAAAATATGGAAATGATAGCTGCTTAAAATAAAATATAGGTTGTATCATCCAAATAAAGATTGATCCAAAAAGGGCATGTCAAACCACTAACATTTCCTTAAATGCTATTTGCCTGTTTTTTAGTTTTGTCTACAGAGCTTTCCTGGGTCTGCTCATGCTTTAGTGCAGGCGGTGCCAAGAGGCTCAGTATCAATGGTTTCAAACGCACAGAATGTGATAAGAATCTCATTTGAAACCATATGGCCATTCACAAATGCTCCAAATGGTCACTACTCAGAGGTACACAGAGTTTTAAAATAATCCCACCACCATTAAAAATATATGAATAAAGAAAAGACAGCAATGACTTCCTTTTCCCTACTGGATTCGTGGATGGGTTGGGGTGTATGAAATGCTTCAGCTCTGTGGCTGATTTTCAGTTCAGATAACTCATCTTTATTCATTTCCTTTCAGTCATGATGAGCCATATTGAGAGCAGCTGTAGGCAAGAGGGGAAAAAAAAGGGTTCCCTCACTCCCTTCTTCATTTGTCAGGCAGCCGTTCTAAAGAATCCATCTGGGCTCAGTATTGTACTGGGTGGGCACCCAAGAAATAATAGAAAACAGGAGCAGAAACAGTTTAAGCTGAACCCAACAAAGAGATTTAAAAATTACCCAGGCACAGGTTTTGGGGAAAAAATCAACCTCAGAATGATTTAATGCAATGTCAGATATAGTAGACATACAAGAAAAATTATACTTCAAATTAAATCCCAAACTCAAACAAGACAAAATGCACTATTAAAGAGGTAATGGGAAACACCAATAGGGGAGGTAACTAGTAGCTAGAGGTCTGGTTGCAGAGTCCAATAAAAATTACATATGAAATTAGAAAGTGATAAGTAATGCCAGTAATCTAAGCTTTAATATGTAAGAAGAGTGAAAATGATCTTGGAAAAACAACCTTTTTTTTTTTTCTTTCAAGTTAGTGATTGAGTTTTACCTCTGAAAAAGTCTTTCTAGGTTTACATAGCAAATGAATCAGAGATCAAAACTCAGCTTTGTTTTGTTTTTTAAATTTTGGATGAACAATGAATATTTTTTGGATCAAGTTTGGTCTGAATTAGGAAATAAATGCTTTTAACATTTTACTTAAAATGATTTCATCTGTTTTCATATATAAACCCCACAGAAATCTTGTTTATGGATCATTCTACTATACTTCAATGACAAAAAAATGGCTTCAGTTTCAAAGGGGAGACTTGGCAAGTGGTTACTGCATAAAATATTGCAGTCTTGTTTATTTTACAGCATTTTTGTTCATGGGTTTTTAATGGTTACATGAACCAAATGCTTAAGCAACTGTGCTGAAGATAGTATGAATGAGGAACAAAGATCTGTTTAGAGGACAAGTTGGAAGACTAACTGCTTTGCAAAATTTTTAAAAATCTACCTTACAGGATAAAAGAATTTTAAGTTGTTTTTGAAAATCATCAAAAAAAGGTGACTAGAATTCTCAAAGAAAGTTTTAAGAAACTAGAACAATCATAGAATATGCAAAGAAAAGTTAAACTCTCTTACCTCCAATGTGTTAATGATAGTAATACTTTTTTTTTTTTTTTTTTTTTCATTCCTGGTGATCTCTGAACTTTGCATTTGGCAGTGCTGAGTACTTTCTCCTTTGTGACATTTATCCTTCTGTGGTACCCATTATTGATTCTCTGTCCATCTCTGCAACGTCATTTTCTCAGTCTCTCAGACTAGTTTGGCTTCCTTTTGCTATTCCCTGTCTCCACTTACCTCCAGCAGCCCAGGATCCTAAGCCTTGCTCTCTCTTGGGAGTCTTCCATTTCTAGCGGACGGTCACTTCTGCTCAAGTACAAATCCACATATTCACCCTCAGACTCCACCCTGTAATTTACAGATACCCATCTCTCCCATGACACATGCTGACTGCGGCATGATGAGACCATCTCTCCTACTAAAGATCCTCCAGGCTTAAAAACTCTGAGTCTTCTTTTACTTTCTTCTCTCTCTTGGCCAATATAGTCAATTAATCGTTCGGTCCTACTCATTATTTATCTCTGTGTTTTTCTTCTCTTTAACTGAATCGAAGTTCTCATCACTTCAAATCTGAATTATTGCTACAGTAATACAACTCAGTAATGTCAGCTGTTATTGCCAAACACTGCCCTAACTGCTTCATGTGAATTATCTCTCTACAAAGGAAGAAAACCAAGGCACAGATACAAATTAATCTGCCTGAGATGACACAGCACTAAGATTCAAACCAAAGTCATCTGATCCTAGCATTCTTTTTTAGATTTATTTTTATTCATTTATGTATACAAGAACTGGGATGTAGGCCAGAGGGGTGGGGAGTGAGAGGATTCACCAGAGACAGAGCAGGGAGCAGAACAGGAGGATTGACTGAAATATGCTGCTAGGGGTGGGGCCGGGCGAGACAGGAGAGGTCTGCTGCCGTATGTACATTAGCAACCTGGCCAGGGATCGAACTCAGGCCCCACAGCAGTCATAGCATGATACCTCTGAGACTGAACCCATAAGCCACCAGGAAGGCCCTCCAAAAAATGTTTTAGATATGATGAAACATTTTAAAATAATATTCAAGTCTCACTACTTTTATAGTGTCAATACGTGATCAAGGACATGATGGTACAAAGTTATTATCTGTTACATTAGGTTTAAAGATTCTCTGCCTACGATTTATATCCCCTTGTTTTAGTCCTTCTTGTTGTTTGTTCAATCCCAACCTCTGCATCTTTCTGGAAGAATCTTGGTTGCAGCCATGTTAGTTTCTTCATAACCTTTTTTCTTCTTACCCATTCACCACACGGTTAGTTAAGGCTCAGGCAGAATCACACCCCATGACACTTAACCTGAATTATACAATTATGATAAAAGTCATAATGACCATAGGCAAGGCAGGCACAGATGATTAATCTTCTCCACTTATGTGCTGTGATTTTGTTACTTACATGCTGACTTTAGTTGCTAGTCTGTTTCTATTCTTTTTCATACTTGGACTACAGTACTTTCCACCTAAATAAAACAGACATATTTACACTTGTCTCTCTTGCTCAATAATCAGTTCCAAATACAGTAATAATATCTAAGCATTACAAATCCAGTGTGTGGCACATAGTAGTTGTTCAATAAATATTAGATGAATGTACTATACATGGAGGAAACAGGTGACTCTGTAACTAAAATAAATATAAGCTGTTTGAGGAAAAATCTGGAAGCCTCTTCCATATGACTTACAAGTGGAATACCATGGAATACCATACCATCACCAGAAAATAGTAAAATCTCCATGAATGAAACTGTTAAAATCTAAGAAGTAAGTCCTAGTTTCCCTTTGTTTTGCCAGATAGCTAAGAGATCCATAGAAGTTCACCTGGAAATGCAACATAAGTTTTTACTCATCATATTGATTTATTAAGAGACTGTTCCTGTCTAGAGATTTGGTGGGGTAAAATGGGTGAGAGGAGGAGGAAGAAGAAAGAAGAATTTTTACTGGTTGCAAAAATCCCCAAATGATCATTTCAGTTGCTACTTTTCCCAATTACATTCTAAATTACTCTTGAGTTGCCATGTATCTATGGAGACCAAAAGATCATACCATAATTCAGACGAGGCAATACTGTAAGAATAAGTGGTCTATAAGGAGAGTTATAATTTTTCGATGGGGCTTTGGAGAAGTTGTAACCACAGGAGGAAAGTCTGACTGGCCAATCCAGCCCATTTAAGAATACCGTAACTCCAAACACGCAGACTTGGTTTTATATAATGCATGGGTTCTGTGAAGATTTTTCCATCTTATGTTGGTTCTGATTTCCATTTCCTCAGACTATTTCACTTTTTTCTTTGAGCTCTATGGACCATAACATTACATCATAAGTAGGCAAGACTGAGTCTCCGCTTTCCATCTCAGCAACCATGACATGCAGGTAGTTAGCTGTGAGTGGATTCTGTCATCTGCTAGGATGAACCTGAACTAAAGGGAGAATATTCAGAGGAAGAAATGGAAGCATTTTTCCTCTTCTTCATCCATGGGATAATGAACAAAAGTGCTCTCTCGGAACCAAATGGAGAAGACTGAGAGGGAAGTCATCCAAGCCAATTTTTAGATTGTTACAAAAAATGGTAAATATCATTTGAAATACAACTGAAAAAAATCAGAGAACCTAAAAATCAAAAAATAAAAATGGTATGGTTTTAAATGGAAACACATCTTAACTCTAGAGTTAGGGAAATAGGTCCAACGCCCCACTTTATAAGATAACCACATTCCCTCAGGTTTTTACTGATAAAAGTTATGTTTTGCATGAATGAGGGCATGATTAGATCTATGGTTATTTGGATTTGAGTAACAGTGAGTCACTTTTAACAGGGCCATTCTGTATCAAGGAAATACCCTGAAACAAACAGATTTTGGGATGAGGATGCTCCCACTGGACCTGTAAATATTTGTAAATCAAACTCATATTGGAGTTAGGAATTTGAGCTCTCCTTTCCAAATTCTGAGACACTCTCAAGACTAGGGTGTGAACAAAAGCAAGGAAAAGAAAGGGCTGAACACCAATAGAGAGGCAAATGGAGGTGTCTCCACAAGGTACCTCCAATCTAAGAACAAATTATGCCTGATTTAACGGATATACAATTCTTGGAACATTGCAGGCATTGGACAGGAAATATTATTGGTGATATATGTGTCTTTTAGCAGAACGTTCTCTACATTAACACAATAAAAAAAAAACTTATGCATTCATGAGACAAATAATCCAGAAATGTGAATATTGTATTTATTATAAGAAAGCCTAATTTGCATTAATGACCTGAAAGAAATACTTGAATAAAAATCTAAATAATATTTTTTGAGTGATGTAATTGTATTACCTATAAGTATACACAAAACTAGAAAAAGACTATTATTATCAAGCAGAGGTCCCTAATAGGTTCACTTCGACTTAGCATATTCACAGTAATTTTGAAAACAACACTGTCTTCCTCTTCAGAGCCTGCATTGATTTAATAAACTACTTTTCATAGATGACAGAAAGATGAAATTCAACAGGGCACTAGACTTTCCATTACAGTTGAAATATTGAAATAGTTGTATAACTTCAGAAGTGGTTCCATACATGTGCATATGTGCAAACCAACATGTAAAAAAACTACCAATTGTCTGAAAAATAATGTAAATATACTATATTACTTTACTACAGAGTGGCAGGCACAAATGGATTGACTGATGATATTTCACTTCGGCTGATCTAGTATATCTTAGTGTAAAAGGAGGTTTTGGATAAGGGAATTACATTTAGAAAAATGCTTTATGCACAAAAAAAAATGTTCCTTCGTAAACAACCAGCAAGCAGGAGGTTTTATAACCATGGCATTAAAAGGGTTAAATGCACGACTCAATGTCTCATCTACTTCCTCTCAACCAGAGGATGTTGTAAGTTTTGGGATTTATGAATTGGCTAGGGCAGTCAGCATCTTGAACACAACAGACTCTGTCTAGATCTATCCCTTACCTGCTGGGAAGAGACAATTCCCCTCACACTTGGAACCCTGAAGCCCGTTAAGCTGCTTGCTCTGTAACTGTAGCAGCTGGGTCCTACACAATTCTTCATCTCTTGCCACCGGGCCTCACTAAATAAAAACTATGGAGCCTTGTTAGCCAACAACTGAGCGTGAAATCACTACATTGCAATCCCCTCCTCTCTGAGTCAATCAATTCCCCCCACCCCTCTTATAGATCTGTATGCATTGGGTCAATAAAGAGCGGTGGGGGGGTGGAAATGGAGTGGAATAAAATGAATGTATCAGCGCAACTGGAACATACCCAGAAGGCATATTTAATTTCATACAGTGAAATTAGTGCATTCATATCAGAAAAACTGAGCTAAGAAATGTGCTATTTAATGTCATCATCACGCTTTGACCTTGCACTGTATTTATACAGGGAGAACTACACAGACAGATATGCGGCCAAGAACAAGCTTTTGTCAGGGTGAAAATTGCCAACAGATTAGAGTGTGTTTGACAAGGCACTGGGGTTGTAACATATGTTCTTTCTAAGGAGTATCAACATTTCATGCATTAGCTACATGCTAACTGAGAGAGCCTGAACTGCTAAAAACTTATTAGACTGTCACTTGCAGTATGTCAGCAGTTCTGCTCCACGCTGGGAGTCTTGTGAGCACATGCACTGGAGGATGGAGGATGCAAGGAAGGTGGCAAAAAGGGGAGGAAAGGCAAAAAGGAAAGAATACAAAGAAGTAGTCTGGAACACATGCTGAAGGAGATGTTAAATTTTTTCTGGAAGAAGCTCCCAATGTAAAGGGAATGTTTGGAGAGGGTTTCAAAATAGGGAAGGAATGTTTTGAAATAAAGCTATTTTCAACATCTCATCCCACCTAAATAACATTTCATCTCTAGCACTATTTCCCTAGTGGCAGGGCTATTTACTCAGTATCCTGAAATGGCCTTTCTGCTTATAGTCTCATAATTATTCTTCTTTGAAGAGAGCAAAATTGTTTTATAGCAAAAAATCAGGCTGTTGAATAAATATTATTAAAAATGAGCTGGGACTACTGGTGTACCTAGAGTACTTGAAAATCGTTACGTCTGTATTTAAGTCTATTACATTAGTGTCTCTATTAATTGTAATTTTTCACACATGGCATGTTATACTTTTATATAAAACTTCAACAACTGCTGCCATTAGTCTGCAGGCTTCTTCCACATGGCAGCTCTATCTTGTCTCCCACAATGCCTGGCAAATAGAAAGAACTGAATAAACACTAGTTGGCTTGTGTTGATAGGAAGGAAATAGAAAACATAATCAGGTTTCTAAGCAAGGAGTCCCGCCAGCAGACTATTTACACACCCCCTCAGTGCTCCTATAGGACTCCTTGGGGTCCCCCCACAGTTACGCTGGCAAGACTTTGCTACTGTTGCTTGTCTTCCCCTAAGACAGCCATCCCTCAGATCCCTAAGCATGGGCACTAAGTCTTCCTTGGCTTTGTAGACTAAACATCTAAGATAAGGTTGTACTTGCAGGGGGACCTTCACTTTTTTAATAATTAAAGTTATTTATTTATTTTCTTATACCATTGCTAATTTTTGGACAGGTTTTGATTTCTGCCCTCAGGTGTAGTCCCTGTAGCTCTCCCCCCACCATAACCCCCATGATCCATCACCATAGTCCCTTGTGCTCTTCCCTTGACTGTTTTGACCCTTCTCCCTACCTCTCCCCTGCTTTATTCGGGGCACTTCACTTTCTAGCCTAAAGCACCAAAACTAACTTTTACCTCACAAACTTCACACCCACCAAAGAAGCTACCATTAAATCTTATTAAAGGCACTGAGTATGGAGGATTTCTATGTGAATAAAATGTCATTGTGTGTGTAGAATTATCTGACTTGAAAATTCTTTTATTTTTATTTTCTTTTATTTAAAAAAAAATTATTTATGCAAGCACTGGGGTACAGTCAGAGGCGCGGGAGAGTGAGAGAATTCACCAGAGACAGAGCGGGGAACAGAACAGGCAGACGGACCAAAGACACTGCTAAGGGGAGCAGCGGGCGAGACAGGAGAGGTCTGCGTGTCATGTGGGTTTCTCCCTGGCCGGCTGGGAGTCGAACCCGCACTGCAGAGGCTGCAGACAGCTTCACAGCGCGGCGGTCAGCCTGCTGCGCCACCAGGGAGGCCCTTGAAAATTCTCTTTTAAAATGAATTTTTATTTTGCATTATATGATTTAGTACACAAGGAACCTGGAAATAGTTATTACATGTGCACAGGTGTATACTTCTATGTATGTACAGATAGGAAGAAAGCAAGAAGGAAAGAAAGATAAAGAGGGTGGGTGGTGATAGTGATGGATGCTTCTAGAACTCTGGTGGTGGCATAGTACCTACATGAGGTGTAAAAGCTATTCTTTATAGTGTTGTAAACCAATAAAGCTAAATAAATAAAAGAACAGATAAAGATACATAAACTTTTAACTTCTGAAGGGTGTTCCTGATAGTGACTTTAATATAGAGCATGGTAACTTTAAAGGATAAACATAATTAGAAACATGGTTCAGAAGAATAAAAGCTATGAAGTAACATCATACCAAAAAAAAAAATAATTTCAGAATTGGTGGTTATCCTGGAAAAGCTATAGTACCACCCCAGAATTTTTATGGGAAAGAAAAGTTTGGTTTGGATCGTAGGAGTCTTAGCTTCACCTCACACATGGCAAGTTGGTAGCATTTATAAGGCATAAAGTATTTATAACATAATACAATCTATTAAAGGAAAGGCAACATGGTTTAGACAGAGAGAGTGTCCTTCAACCATTTTGGGTTACTTGAGATGGAAAATAAGTAGGGTACAAAATTTACTTCAATTTCCAAAAACCTTTCGACATAATTTCCAAAATCAAAGATAGTTTATAAAAGTGGAGTTAATATGGAATTGGGGAGAGAGTTTTCTTATGGAAAGAAGACTAAAGATAGTAAGTAATTAGTAGTACAGTTTCAGCCAGAAAAGTGTTAAATATAACTAGTAGCCAATATTGACAGGGTTTTCCTTTTAATATTAAAAATTATCTTGAGAGAGTGCAAAAAATAGTGCAAATCTGCAGGACCTATCTGCCTCTTTCAGGTGATAAAATACTTAAGACCATGGGGAAGGGTGTGTGTGCGTGTGTGCACGTGTGTGTGTTCAATTGAAGAAAAATGGAGGCAAGACAGAATAGAAAATGGAGGCTGTTCAGCATGGAATGACAGAATTTGAGAGAAGTGACTGGAAAAGTTTATAAAATCACAAAGGACACAAATGGGGTTATCCATTGTCTGAACAGGAAAGCTAGGTAAACCCCTTTGAGGTTGAAAAAGCTATTTTGGCACCCCTGCTAGGAAGCCTTAGATTTGCACAACAGGTGGCTGTTCAAGGGAAAACATCTAGTGAAAAAACTGAAATAGGTATAAGAAATTTGTGAAATTCAGGGAGGATTCTTAACAAGATTATAAAGGAAATAGGGAGCTTCTGGTTGCATCCCCCAGCCAGCCATGCCCCCTTATGGAACTTCTATCCCCTTTACCCTTACAGATGGGGCCGAGGCGTGGCCAGCCGGACGAGGCATTGCTTCTGCTCCCCTTCATTAATGCAGAAAATTGAGAGTGGGTAATGAATGTTGCATTGGCTATCACTGTTGTCAACACTACTCACTAATGACCCAATTTAGAGGGAAGAGGGGTATAGGGGAGAAGGCACCAGTCAAACAACAGTACTAAAGATGTAAAAGATATTCTTGAGGTGATTAAAAAATTTCTGGTGACTTTAAAGACTGGCTTTCTTGTGTGCAATGTGGCATAGAACAGCTTGTATGCTGCAGATCAATAAATTCCAGTTAACTTTCAAGTCATGTCGGCATGCAGCCCCGGCTGGTTTATTAATTTAAATTTCAGCCCTCTAAAAAGGTAGGTCTAAAGAAATAAGCATTGTCTGGATCGCAGAGAGATGGCTCAATCAGAACAGATTCTGCCATATATTGGCTCTCAACATCAACAGGAAATCTTAAAACATCGGTGGGACTAGATCACCCCTCTTTCCTATCTCATTAGTTAGTATTTCTCGTAGGAACCGTGAATGCCATTCATTTTTCTTTTTAAGAGTACCTGATATCTGAGCAGCAAATACCTTGGTTCCTCATGTAAGCTTGAACAACTGATGAAGAAAGAATAAAAAAGGTGAAAGTGAGATTAACAGTATTTCAATCTTCAAGTTTCTATCTAAAAGGGATGTCTGCAATAGCTTGCCTTCTTTCGATTTTCCCTGCCCCTAGCTTCATGGCACCTCAATACTCCAATTAGGGTTATATCTAAAAATATGACAGAAACACAAAGCTAGGAATCGCTTACATTTTTCTTTTTAATCATCTCTCCCTTGCATGTTTTCTTATGTTTGATTCTTCCCTATTTGCTTTTAAAATACATTTTTAAAAATATTTATTTATTTATTTATACAAGCACTGGGTACAGTCAGAAGCGCGGGAGGGTGAGAGAACTTGCCAGAGCCAGAGCGGGGAACAGAAAAGAACAGACTGACGAAATACACTGCCGAGGGGAGCAGCGGGCGCAGCAGGAGAGGTCTGTCGCACCATGTGGGACCCTCGCCTGTGGCTGGGGATAGAACCGGAGCTGCATAGGCTGCGAGCAGCTTCTCAGCCCAGCGCTCAACCACCACGCCACCAGGGGAGACCCTAAAACACATTTTTTAAAAACCTCAAGTAACTGTCAGTGATAAAGATTATCCCCTTTGTGAAGTTGCTCCAGGCAACAGGGGATTCTGGAATTTCTGCTCCAAAATGGTTTGTATTTTTAGGAGAACAAACTAGTTTTGCTATTAGACCATGCTAAAAATTACTGAGACTACAGCTGCAGCTTAAAGCATCCTGAAACTAGACAATTTTCTGAATGATCTGTATCATTTCTCCCTAATATTGAGAGAGCCGCCTAACTACATGAAAACTGCTCAGAGATAAAAGTTGAATTCTATTGCATTTACTGCATTTTTAATTCAGAACAAAATCTTTATGAAACAACAATACCATCTGAATACAGCCCCTATTGATAGCATCTTAAGTATGTTTTAATAAACAAGCACTTATGTAAAATCTCAGATGTTTTCAGACCAATTGTGTATTCATGAAATTTATAGAGAACATCATCATTTTATTAATAACTGTGAGATGAAATTGAAAAACCCACTGAAACACTATGAAACTTAAGGCAAATTCTCAAGTTCAAGAATTTTAATGACAAATTTATACTACTTATTTCTGACTGTACTCAGTTTTAATCAAGGTTTCTGGAGCTTCTCACTAACAGTGAAATTGTATTTAAATAGGGCCTTCAGGGTGTTCAAGTTATGGATTAATTAACTCAATTTGGACAGAGTTTGGGGCACTGTAGTTCCTGCATCTTTAATTTTATCTCCAGAGGTAGTCAAAATTCCTCTAGACATTAGCAACTAAATAATTGCATAGGCTTAGACTGATAATGATTAAAACATCTAAAACAAAGCAGGGTTGTCAGAAGTCAGAATAAGATGACCAGTGATGAGTGCAGTGAAGTTAGACATTACATTTCCAGCACATGGTTGAACTGGGTTATAAATGCATTCCACTACTAGGCTGTGGAAATGCTGGGAGTGTGAACCAAGAGCTCATACCTTGGTCTCCTCTACAAATTGGGGCAAGAAAACCTACCTTAGAAGGTTGTTGTTAGGACTAAATGAGAGTGCTCATGTAAAGTGGTGCCTGGCCCACAGGAAGCACTCAGTAAGTGAGATGTCACAATTATTATTATTGGCCTGATTATTGTCTTCTATGGAATAGAAGAATCCTCTAGACATAAAAGGCAACAAAAGGGGTTGTTTTGACATTACAGCAAATGATGTTTGGTCATACTTCTTTCCCTTTCTCAGGGACCCATGTGCCCTCTCATACATCACTGTCAAGGATATTATACTTCTTATCCAACTTCAAACACATTCTGGACCTTCTAGCCTATTCCCCTCCTCGAAGCCTGTCCCCAACTACAAATCTCCCATCTAATCTTCAAGCTTTAGCTCAAATGCTATCTTCTCCAGAAAGTGTCTGCTGACTTAGTGAGGTCTGTCCTTTATCTATTTTCATCACATTTTATACATAACTGTACAATAGTACCCTTTTACATTTTACCTTGAGCAAATCTTCTGTATCTTAAGTCTTTTGCTGCACTTTAAATTGCCTGACAGTATGGAACACTGTTACCAACTAAACATTTGTGTCCATTCAAAATTCACATGTTGAGCCTGAACTCCCTAATCCTGAGATAATCGTATCTGGAGGTGCAGCCTCTGGGAGGTAATTAGTTGTAGATGAGGCCATAAGGGTGGGGCTCCCGTGTTGTGATTAGCGTCCACGCAAGAGGAAGAGAGTCTAGTGCTCTCTGCTAACTCCCTGCTGTAGTGAGGGCATAGAGAGAAGGCACTTTCTATAAGCCAAGAAGACAGCTCTCACCAGGGCCCAATCTGCTAGCACCTTGACCTTGGACTTCCCAGTCTCCAGAACTGTAAGAAATAAATACCCTTTTAAAAATGAATGGTATTTTGTCATGACAGCCCAAACTAATATGAACACATCCGGATATCTCCATAAATCCATTCACACAACCTGTTGGTCGAATGTCTGCCAATTTGTCTTCTTATTCTGGTTCACCTGGATCATTTACTTCCATAAGTTTGACCTGGTTCCCCAGCACCTCTATGTAAATATTTCCCTTTGTGTGTATCATTTTGCTAGATGCTGTGGAATAGATCAGCTTTACCACCTGAAGCTTTATGATCTCCTTGGGAATGGAAGGTAAACACATATAATGGCAAACCTGATTGGTTGTCAAACAACCAGAACAGATTCTATGAAAGGCCAATAAGGACTGAAAAGGTAACTTGAGTGCAGTGGGCTATGTTATTTGTATTAAAAAATATATGTTCTCGGGCCTCCCTGGTGGCACGAGGGGTTAAGACGCAACCTATGAAGCTATCCAAAGCCACTGCAGCACAAGTTCGATCCCTGGCCAGGGAGTGTCCACATGGTGCAGCAGACCTCTCCTGATTTGCCCACTGCTCCTCTTAGCAGTATATTTCAGTCAATCTGCCTGTTCTGTTCCTCACTCTGTCTCTGGTGAGTCCTCTCACCCCCCACACCTCTGGCCTGTACCCCGATTCTTGTATGAATAAATAAATACACCTTTAAAAATATATATGTTCTCAGCAACATTTCTTGCCACAAAAGACTCCTTGGGGCTATTTTTATACTTGTCATTTAGGACGGAGATGTGGTTACAAGAAATAGCTCATTTTTCTTTGACCACTATCATAAGAAAAACAACAGGGAAAAGGTGACAGCAAATAGCAACTGCTTCTCAGCCTCTGTGGCAGAAGAACAAGTTGTAAGTGACAGGGATTATGACAAACTTCAGAGCACAGCCTTGTCTAAAAAAGGCAGCTGTTACTCAACCCTAGCTGATCACTGTGTTAAAGAATGCCAAGTATGGCTCCATGTTCCCTATTTAAAAAAAAGAAAAGAAAATTCAGAAAATTCTGGACGTTTATGTAAGAGTTACCTAGTTTTAAAGGTTGACTATTACCTTAAGAATTTGAAAATACTGTTCTAGGCAAGTGCTACGTCTATGGAAAAAATCTGTTATAGGTTCTAGGGTCCAGCTTCTACAAGTGTTCTGGAAATCAGAGCATACAACAGTTACACTGATCTTCCCCTACAGCTCAGTCACAGTGATCAACTTTTTGGATGTTTATTTGATCTCACCAGAATGTTGTTATGCAGTAGGCACCCACATCTTTGTTCAGTTTTTGCTTTTTCACTGTCTTTATTGATACACCAACATAAACTATAGAACCCGTCTACCTTATATCCCAGGCTTATCCTCACCTACTGTTCACCCCTTCTGAGTTCCTCCAGGTCACCAGTGAGGGTGCCATCTGACCAATTTATTAGTCTCACAGCATGGGAAGCAATTTTAATTCTTCTCTTGTCTACCCCTTTCTGCTTCAACCACTTATGTATGTCATATATAACATTATTTTTGAAATGGTTTTCAACAATTTGCTCTCAAGTTGTCATGAAACTTAAATAAGCTTCCTTAAAGACTGCTCTTATTTATTTCATTTTGGTTTTGCCCAAGTGAATTGTTGCAACTCATGCATGCAACAAATTCAGTTATAATTTTGTGCTTTTTTATTCATGCTCTTTAAAACTTATGCCTAAGAAGGCCCCAATCTGCTCTTCCTTCTGTTGTGATTATGTATAATTTCTGCCAAGAAATACACTGCCTTGTAAGCATTTATAACTTTTTTTCATATCAGGTAAAGGAAAAGGAAAAAAATATCATAAAAGAGTTCAAACTTTATCAAATTTGGAATTCATAACAGTTACTGAGTACTTGTTATGGACCAAGCAAGTCATTATGCCAAGGACTTTACATTACCATCTTTACATTTACCATCTAAGGGCTACAGCAAGCTGACAAGAGAGGCACTATTCCTATGCTTGATTTGCAGATGGGAAAATTGAAGCTTAGGAAGGTTAAGACTTAGTGTAAGTCATGGAGTGCACAGGTCACATAAGTAGCTCAGCAAAGTCTTCAAGGCCAGGCTGCTGGTCCAAATCACAGATCTTAGTCCCCACCATAAATGGCTATTCTGAGATGAGAGCTATCTGTACTGAGTGAGATCTACTGCTAACAGGACTGATGGCAATGCAATGAATGACTAATAACATGTTCACTAACATCATGTTGAAATAAAAAAAGCCATCATTGCTTCACACTTAGTTTTTTTCTTTTTTTGCAATCAGGCATCATAAAACTCATAATTAAACAAAAGAGCTCAACATCAGATCCTAACTTTCAGGACAGTCTGTGTCATACAGACCCCTTGACAATGTTAAGGGCAGGAAAAGCGATTGCTGAGCTAACCCCAGGTTTCCAAAGGAAGTCATAAAATGTACTTTTAGACAAATTAGCTTTACTTATTTAGTCTTTGTTCTACTATTTCACTGTATCTCTGTCTCTTTCGTACTTTCTTACTTCTGTTAAAGAAATTGTCTCTCCCAATAACCTTCAATTGTCTGACGACCTCATTTGGGCAAGTGAGGAAACTGT